GGCGGTGCGGGACACCAGTGTTATTGCCGCTCAAGGCCTGTGTATGCAAATAACCCTACCATCTTTGTTGGGTTAATTTGCATGCTCACTCCTAATTGGCTTTTCTTAGTGTAGAATAGATAGATTTCAGAGAGGAAGTAAGAGGGAGAGATAGAAACGTCAATGATGAGAGAGAATCATTGATTGGCTGCCTCCTGCATGCCCTCCACTGGTGATTGAGGCCACCACCCGGGCATGTGCCCTTGTTGGGAATTGAACCTGGGAACCTTCAGTCCACAGGCTAATGCTCTATCCACCGAGTCAAACCGGCTAGGGCTGCCCTTTCTCTTTGATACTAAACAAACCCTATTAAATACAAGTTATTCATACCTGAATTTTTCTTGGCCTGTGGATTATATCCATACTTCTGGAAAAACTCTCTTATTTTTATAATATCTGCTGAGGTTTTTTTCATCAGTACTTTTGCTGCCTTTATGAAACCAATGCTTTCTTGACTTTCCAAACTTGCTTTATCAAGAAGAATATTGACATTATCCTTTTTAGGAGGAAAGAAAGTACATTATAGTTTCTCTAACTTTTGACTAAATTTATTTATATTTTTAAAATGATAAACATTGTAGGAGTGATACCTTTAGAGTCCGAACTTCTGAATTAAGGTCATGTAAAATTCTTACTGCATAACCTACAAAGTCTTCAATATAAGTATTGAAAGGAAAAGGGGGGGAAGGAAAAAGGAGGAGAAATATAAAAAACATAATTCAGTTTATTGTTTGAATTGCAAAATTCTTATAGATATTGATTTATAATTTATATCCTGCTAATCACAAAGAAAAGTGTTAAATTAAAGCCTTTCTTTAAAATTGGTATTAAACTACTAGAGGCCCGGTGTAGGAGATACAGGCATGGGTAAGGTCCCCAGGCCTGGCCAGCAATCAGGACCAATCTGTGGGGCGATTGGCGGGGTGATTGAGGAATGTCGCTTGCCTGCTCGCTGGCCAGCCCCACCCCTGATCACCCTGCTGCCACCAGTCACATCCTCTTACAGGGCGATTGGCGCGACCCCCCACTCCCCCAGTACCCACCTTGGCTGGCCTAGGGCCTGCGGGTCGGGGGCAGCTCCAGCGTTGAGTATCTGCCCCTGGTGGTCAGGGAGTGTCATAGCTACCAATCATTCTGCCATTCAGTCAATTTGCATATTAGGCTTTTATTATATAGGATAATGTACATACAAAAAAGTATAGAAATCCTAAGTATACAGCTTGATGAATTTTCAAAGTAAAAAGACCTACATAATCAACACTCAGATCAGGAAGAAAGGGAGGGACAAGATGTGAGAACATGGTGCTGAGCAATTTTTTCCTATATGGTGAGCAATTTTTGATTCGTATTTTAAAAATCTCCTTTACTAATAACATATTTTCTTCTAAAAGCTTTATTGTTTTCCTTTGCATTCAGAGATAAAATTCATCTGGAATTGATTTTTCTGCATGAAATAAGGATGAAGATCCATTTTTCCCCCCTGAGTATACAATTGACCTGGCACCATTTACTAAAAAAAAATCCTTCACCCACTATACTGTCACCTTTCTTATTAATCAGATATATAAAACATATTTTAAAAATATATGAAATAAAGGCAGTGTTTTTAAGAATTATGTCTCTTGCCCTAGCTGGTTTAGCTCCATGTATAGAGTGTCAGCCCATGGACTGAGGGGTCCAGGGATGAATTTGGGTCAAGGGCACGAACCTGGGTTGAAGGCTCGATCCCTGACCCTGGTTGGGTGTGAGCAGGGAGCACCAATCAATGTGTCTCTCTCACATAGATGTTTCTCTCCCACTCCTTTCCACTCTCTCTAAAAATCAATGGAAAAATATCTTCAGGTGAGGCTTAACAACAACAACAAAAGAATTGTATTTCTCTTTCCTAAAACATGTCTCTTTTGAAGATCTCCCTCTACCTGTTAAAAGTCAACTCATTTTCTGCCGGACCCATGTGGCTTAGTGGTTAATCATTGACCCATGAACCAAGAAGCCACTGGCTGGATTCCCAATTCCCGGTTCAGGGCACATGCCCCAGTTTCTGGCTAGATCCCCAGTAGGGGGCGTGCAGGAGGCAGCCCATCATGTTTCTATCTCTATTCCTCTCCTTTCTTTTCTCTAAAATCAATAAAAACACATTAAAAAAAAAATCACCCTAACCAGTTTGGCTTAGTGGATAGAGCGTCGGTCTACAGACTCAAGGGTCCCAGGTTCGATTCCAGTCAAGGGCATGTATCTTGGTTGTGGGTACATCCCCAGTAGGTGGTGTGCAGGAGGCAGCTGATTGATGTTTCTCTCTCATCAATGTTTCTAACTCTCTCCCCCTCTCCCTTCTTCTCTGTAAAAAAATCAATTAAAAAAAAGTCAACCAATTTTCATTAGGGAAATGCAAATCTACACCACAATGATTTTCTACTTTATACACACTAGGATGTCTACAATAAAAAAGACAGGTAATAACAAATGTTGATGAGGATGTGAATAAATTGCAACTTCCATTCATTGCTGGTGGAACTATACAAATGCTATATCTACTTCGGGAAGCAATTCTCTCCCAAATATATACCCAAGAGAACTGAAAACATTATATTCAAATGAAAACTTGCAAATGAATATAAAACAAGTTGCTGATACACACTGACATGGATGCTAAGTGAAATAAGTCAGCCACACATATGATTCCATTTTTATAAAATGTCCAGAATAGGCATATCTATAAAGAAAGAAGACAGATTAGTGTTTGCATAAGGCTAATATGGTAGATGGAGGTGGGATTGCAAGCTGCTAACAATCACATGGGTTCCTTTAGGGGTTGATGAAGACCTAAACTTTACAACTATGTGAATATACTAAAGGCCATTGAATTGTATCCTTTAATGCCCAATTTTGTGGTATTTTAATTACCTCAATAAAAATGTTTAAAAGTCAACTAATTTAATGACATCACAGTGATAATAAAAGGTAAAAAAATTTTGTGATCATTTTCCTAATGTTCACTATTCTATATTTTCCGTAATATATATGGGCCTGGATTTAAAAAATTATTCCAACTTTTTCTTGTAAAACCAAAAGAAAAGGCAGAATGTGTGCAAAGGTATATGTTGGTAAGAAGGTAAATTTGCAAAAGCTTTGTGGAAAGCAATTCAGCTACATATCAAGAACTTTTAATATATATATATATATATATATATATATACACACACACACACACACACACACACACACACACACACACATACACATACACACACACACTTTTAAAAATATTTTTATTGATTTCAGAGAGGAAGGGAGAATAAGAGAAACATCAACGATGTGAGAGAATTGTTGATCAACTACCTTCCACATGCCCCCCCACTGGGGATCCAGCATGCAATCTGGGCATGTGCCCTGACCAGGAATTCAACCAGTGATCTCTCTCTCTCTCTCTTTTTTAAAAAAAATATATTTTATTGATTTTTTACAGAGAGGAAGAGAGAGGGATAGAGTTAGAAACATCGATGAGAGAGAATCATCGACCAGCTGCCTCTTGCACACCACATACTGGGGATGTGCCGCAATCAAGGTACATGCCCTTGACCGGAATCGAACCTGGGAGCTTTCAATCCACAGGCCGATGCTCTATCCACTGAGCCAAACCGGTTTCGTTCAACCAGTGATCTCTTGGCTTATAGGTCAAAGCTCAACCACTGAACACACCTGCCCTGCATATCAAGAAATTTAAAATGAGCCCCTGACTGGGTAAATTGGTTGATTAGAGCGTCCTCTCAATATGCCAAGATTGTGGTGCAATCCAGTTAGGGCATATACAAGTATCAACCAATGAATAATTAGTGGAACAAATCATGTTTCTCTCTCTTCCTTCCTCTCTCTAAAATCAATCAACAGCTTTAAAATTTTTTAAAATTATTTCAAAATACTAGTATAATTTCCTGTCTTATAACTTTATCTCAACTATGTAAACAAGATCAAAGAAAAATAAAGGAATTCTAAAAATAAGAACGATAGAAAAGGTACTAAAACACTGAGTGGTGTCCTCTGATGGTGCAGTTACAGGATCTATTTATTTCTTCTATTTTTCCATATCTCAAAATTTTGCGATGCACACATACAGATAGTTTTTACAGTCACAAGAATAAACATTTTTAAATGGCTGGATAACCGGTAACAAAATCACTGAAGTAAAAGGACTCTAACAGGATGCAGTATTTTAAGGGACATTAAAATAATGACATTTATTAAGTATGAACTACTCTTTCAACTTTAAAAAAAATTTCTAATACAAAGGTCTGTAGTGAAAATTTTTGCTTTACTTGCAAAAAAAGAGCAGTACTGAGTCCTGGTGTTTGTGCTGGCAACATGGTTTGTTGGGAAAAACGTTTACTGCAACTGAGCTCCATCACTATACATATCACTATACTAGTACGTGCGAGGGCAATGCTGAACAGATGCACAAAGGAAGCTAATTTTGTTCCTATTACGTGTTACTGATGAGCACAGGTTCTGCACGACTAGCAAGCATACCGAAAGGAAACCAGGGGCGCAGACTGAGCTCCAAGGGTCCAATTAGGTTTCACTCGCACCGCGCAGCACTCACGGCGCCGTCCGCTTCCGTACGCGGCGGGCCCGCCCACGGCGGCCTATGGCCCCCGGGTAAGTGTGCCCGCTTCGCCGCCACCCGCCCGCCCACTCACCGCTGTCTTCCCTCTCCAGCGCCCGCTGCAGCCGCGCCGTTTCGCCGTCCAAGGTGACCGCCAGGGACCGCAGCTTTGCACAGAAGCTCCGGATCGGGTCCATGGCGACCTCAGCGCCGCGGGCCCCGCCACTCGTTTGAATTCCCAGCGCCGGAAGTTTCGTTGGTCCCTCCGCCGGCCCACTCGTCCTCTCTCGCGGGAGCCGAAGTCTCGCGGGAGCCGGCTCGGGCGGAGGAAGCCACCCCGGGCGGAGCACCGCACTGCGGCCGCTGTGTCAGGAGGCGTGCGGAGGACGCGGCTCCCGAGGCGGCGGACTGGTGAGTGCGCGGGCTTCGCGGCCGCTCGGGGACGCGGGTGGGCGATCTCTTCCCCGGAGACGCCGGCTCCCCTGGCGCCCGGCCGGCCTGTTCCCGGTCTCTGTTCCAACAGGCGCCATGTTCCTGACCGCGCTCCTGTGCCGCAATCGCATCCCTGGCCGGCAGTGGATCGGAAAGCATCGGCGGCCGCGCCGCGTGTCCTTCCAGGCGAAGCAGAACACTCTGCGCCGCCTGGAGACGGAGGCGGAGAACCACTACTGGCTGAGCACGCCCTTCCTGAGCGCCGCGCAGGAGTGCGGGCACGCCGCGGCCCGCAGGGCGGCCGCCTTCGAGGCCATCAAGGCGGCCAAGGAGGCCAAGTTCCCGCAGCACCGGCGGCTCGCCGACCACCTCAGCCACCTCAGCGTCACCGGGAAGTGGGCCTGAGCGCCGCCCGCTGCCGGCGCCGGGCGCTGGGGGAGGAGGGGGCCGGCAGGAAGCGTGGCTTGGCGCGGAAAACGCCACACTGTACAGATAGGTTGTAGTACACCTGAACCTGTATATTAACCGGTGTCACCCCAATAAGTTCAATTTAAAAAAACGACCTTTGGACCAGAGTCGTGAACAGAGCGTTCAGAACATTACGTCTTCAAGCTCCAGCTTTTCTCGTGTGTTTGTTTCTTCACCAGGGTTATAGTGATATAAGGTGCATTTGGATTAACTTGCGATGAAACTGCAAACTAAAGGCTTGGAGTCCATGTATGTGACACCCAATGGGTTGCCTAAACGTAAATGAAAACAAGCTGTCAAATATATTCCTAAAAATGTCATTTTTTTCCCTTCTACCAACAGTGGACATTTAAATGAAGTAAAACTTTTTTTTTTTAATCAGAATTGTATGAAAGTGTGTTTTTAAAAACTTTATCGGAAAAAAAACCATTTTACCAGGATAAAATTAACATGTACAGTTAATCAGTTGTGGATCTTTTCTTTCAAATAACCTTTTTCTGGATAAAAATAGTCAAGCACTTTACACGTGTCATCAGATACAGGAATCCTATTGAGGCAGGTTACTATGAAACTAGGCAAATTCCCAGCTAAGTGGAATGGAGAAACAGACAAATGGCTGAACAAACTTGGAACTGCTGAGCAGAGATTCTATTTTCCCTAACCAAAGATAATGAGAAGGAAAATGGAGGGCTTAGAACCCGGTTCAGTATCTGGTTAAAGCTGTTGTCTTACTTCCCCAGGCTGACTGACTTGGGCGGAGCTGCCGGGACTCTCGGGGGCCCACCAGAAGGAGATATATAGATAAGAGCCTCCCTCTGGATTCGGAATTCCCCTGAACTAGCAGATCTGTGAAATAAAGGTTAAACTTTCCTCCCTCAGAGTGCTGGCTGAACCTTCTCCCGTGCATCTGCCACAACGCTAAAAGCAGGTGGCTTAAATTATCCTAGGAAAAATCACAATCAGAGCCAGACTAATCCAAGATAGAAGTGAAATTAACCAGAAAATGATCCTTATACGCTTATTTTAATACATCAGTTACCAAAGGACACATTTAGAAGTCCAGTGAATATTGTTGAGCCACCCACAGAAATAGATAAAACCCTCAGGACAGAGAACTGGTGTGTGCTCTTTGAGCATCCAGGGCACCTTTCTTTAGGCATATACTTTGCATCTTCTAAGATTCTGGATGAGACCTAGGGGAGCAATGGGCAGCAGCAGCAGCTGTTGCAGACTTACCCCTGGTCCTGCCTCCAGGGGGTCCTTCCTTTGCTTCTGGCTCAAGCTTTAATAAACTTACCTGGGAAGGAGTCTCCCAATACTATCATTTGGGACAGTTTTACCTGTGAGGAAACATTTGAGGAACTCCAAAATTACCCTCCCAGTAATGACAGTGACTTGGATTTGGATTGCTGTATAATCCAGAAATCTTTGTGTTTAATAGGAAATTTTCCAAAATGCACAGAAGAGAAATATTTCACTGCCTTCTGCCACGTCCCCCCTCCCCTCCACTCTGCCCCCAACTCTGGAAACAAACTATACATGAGTCCACAGGTACACAACATGGACTTTTAAAACTCAGTGGCATCATATTATGTATATAGATTTATGCTATTTTTTTCCTCACCCTTGTTTTTAATCCTCACCCAATAATATTTTTTCCATTGATTTTTAGAGGAAGGGAAGGGAAGAAACAGAAACATCAATGTGAAAGATACATCGATTGATGGGGGCCGGAGAGCCTGCAACCAAGGACATGCCTTTGATAAGAATTGAACCCTCAACCCTTCAGTCTGAGGGACCAACACTATAACCACTGAGCCAAACTGGCTAGGGCTCAATGTCTAAGATCTTTCCAGGGAGTTATTTCAATTTTATGAATATAAAAATATAGAATATGTAAGTGGCTTCATTGTATCAACACAGTAATAATTTAGCCAATTTCCTTTGTTGTTAATCTTACCCAAGGATATTTTTTTCCATTGCTTTTCAGAGTGGAAGGAAGGAGGGAGAGAAAAACTGATGTGAGAGAGAGACATCATTGGTTGCCTCCCACACATGTTCCTACTGGGGGTGGGGAGTGAACTCTTGCACTCTTGACGACGAATCAAACCTGAGAGCCTTTTGTGTGTGGGCCGAAGCTCCAACCATTAAGGCACACTGGCCAAGGTGACTGTCCATCAATATTTACTACTTTTAAAAAACCTCTCAAATACTAGTCTCATCTGTAGGAAAGATTTTTTTCTTTCTACGTAGGAAAGAACCAAGTTCTGTGTTTCTCTCCAGTGTTCCTCCTTTACTACACACGAAACACTTAAGATCACCAATTGTGGAGGTTTTCCCTCCCCCACCAAGCAATTCTTTACAACATCAGCTGCAAAGGATTTAATTCTGGCACTGTCTACCTGGACATAAACTCACAAAACTGATCCCCTCCCTGCTGTAGTTGCCCCTTGCAAATATTAGATCCCCAGATTACCCACAACTGCTGTTCATCTTGCTACAAATAAAGTTTCCTTAACCCGCTTCTCAGTTTGGGTCAATTTGCTCCAGCAGCTCACAGAACTCAGGGAAACACTTCAGCAGTTTACTAAAGGATACGAGAAAGGACACAGATGAACCACCAGATGAAGAGATGCATAGGGTGAGGTCTGAGGGTCCCAAGCACAGATTGAATCCCCGTGGAGTTAGGGTGCCAGCCTGGAAGTTCTCCAAACCCTTCTATGATTGGGATTTTACAGAAGCTTCCTCGAATGGGCAAGTGACTCCATTTCCAGCCCCACTTCCCTCTCTGGAGGATGAGGGGTAGGTCTGGAAATTCCAAGCTTTTTCTAGTCTTTCTGATGACCAGTCCCCATCCAGGAGCCCACTCAGTCACCTCATTGGAACAAAAGAAGCTTCTAGTGCTCCTACTTAGAAAATTACAAGGGTTTTAGTAGCTGTGCCAGGAACTGGGGGCAGGGACCAATACATGTATTTTCTATTACCGCACACATTATACACATCTCTATATGAATTTTTAAAAGTGGGGTTGTCAGATTATGTGGTGAAACTTGGACACATAATGTCATATTACCTTTATTTTTACAATTAAGCCATTTTATACCCCCCACCAAAAATACTTTGCTCATATTTTCAGCAACACTGGTGATTGCCTATCTTAGGCAAAATAATGAAGCTGAGCATCTTTATCCATGCTGTAACCAAACAATCCTATTTTTCAAGTTTCATTAATACTCACCTGAGGATACTTTTTCCATTTATTTTTTAATATATTTTTATTGATTTTAAGAAGGGAGAAGGAAAGATAAAAACATCAGTGATAAGAGAATCATTGATCGGCTGTCTCCTCCTAGGGATCAAGTATTTAACGCAGGCATGTGCCCTTGACTGGAATTGAACCCGGGACCCTTCAGTCCACAAGGCATTGCTCTACTCAGTGAGCCAAATCAGCTAGGGGTTCCATTGATTTTTAAGGAGAGTGGAAGGGATGGATGGAGGGGAGAGAGAAAAACATAGACCTGAGAAAGACACTGATTTGTTGTCTCCTGCACAGAGCCCAACCCGGGCTGGGATGGAACCTGCAATCCAGGTATATGCCCTTGCCTGGGAATAAAACCCATCTGATATAGAAGTTTTTACTCCAGTCTCAGATCCTTCTTGCTTCAGCAACCTCAACTATTAACCTGTCCTTTTGGAGGGGAATTGGAACACATATGCCACAAAAAATTCTACATAAAATAAAATTTTTTATTCAGCATTGTGAAAACCACAATTCAAAAACTAAGTGTTATGCAAGTACTTATGATTCCAAAGTTACTTCTGAATTGAAAATTATATTCAGTAAAAACTAAGTTAAAAACTTTTTGAATAAAGCAATCTATACCTCTGACTTAGGTAAACTACAATATTGTTACATTCAAATATTAAATGTCTTAGATATAGTTACTCTAAATTATTAGCCAAATTTCTCTAAACATTATTTTACCAGATTTATGACCAAAATAATAATTATTCTTTCATTTTGCAAACACCACTTTATAATAACAAACTGTCCAAATACAGAACTTTAATAAAGTTAGTTATGATTTTTGAAAAAAGTTTAAAACGCTCAGCCTTCATGTTAATGTAGTTAGGCTATCCAAAAGACAAAGCAAAAAGTTAACATTAAGTCATGGTCCAGGGTTATATTTATGAAAAACAAATACAAGATTTATGGGACTCAGCAGGTAAAGACAACCAAAGAAAACTGTATTTCAAATCTGTTTAAAAACATGAAAGATCAATTTAAGTGTCCATCTTTTCTTTTAAATGGGCATAGATTCATCTGCAATCATTACAAATATAATAAACTTGACTAATAGCTTTCTCAAGCTTTTAATATTTGCTTCCTTATGCAAACCAACAAAATAATACAAAGTTAGAAAAATATGGACCTTTCTGAATCTATACTGCACTTTAAATTGTAAAATATAGTACTAATTATTTGAAACCCCTGTTGACTTATTATTACCTGTATCTTACATATTATTACATCTAGTCTTTATGTTGGCTGAAATGCAAAAATATAATTTCTTAATAACAGATTAAAAGTATTTCCCATTGATAACAGTGCTATTCCTGGAACAAAACATAAGCTAAACATATTTGTCTATATTTGTGCCCCAAATATACAAATCCTAACACCAACCCCTTAATACACATTTTTTTGCTTTAAAGTTTACTGAATGGAAATCTGACATATCTGATAATCTTGAAATTAAACTTCGTAAAAAAAAAGTAAAAATCTGTATTCTAATAGAAATAAAATTCAAATAAACTTTGCATATTTGATTTAAACTAATCTTAGTCAAATTAACTTATGACACATTGAATCAGAACCATTACATATGTAAAAAGATTTAAAAAATCACCCATATGGCCCTGGCCAGTTTGGCTCAATGAATGGAGCGTTGGCCTGCAGACTCAGAGGTCCCGGGTTCAGTTCCGGTCAGAGGCATGTGCCTTCGTTGTGGGTGCATGCCCAGTGGGGAGTATGCAGGGGGCAGCTGATCGATGTTTTTCTCTCATCGATGTTTCTAACTCTGTCTCTCTTCCTCTCTGTAAAAAAATCAATGAAATATCTATTTTTAAAAATCATCCATATGTAAAGAAACTGAACTCTGTAAACGTGTCCCTGTTTAATAACTACTCTACTGCAGCTACTCTTTGGTTTGGCAAAGTGATACTAGTCAGTTACCTCAGGGACTGAATGTATAAGTTTGTACCAGGTAAAATCAAGTCTCCTGTTACTTTTTTTTTTTTAATGGTAATGACAATACCTGAAATTCAACTTAATATCTTTAAGTGTCATTACATTTGTTCAAGTATTTGAAGGACCAAAGACAGTACTAGTAAATTTTCACAGGGTTTCATTTTGACCTTTCTCCCCAAAGAGTGACAGCACTAACCAACACCAGTTGAAATACCAGAGAGGCAGCTGGTCCCTGATTCCCACACCACACCAGTAGGCCCTTGCTAAGAGTAGTGAATGTGTATGAATAAACTCAGCCAAATATTATTCAGAATGTGGTAAAATGTTGGCCATGAATTAAACCAAAGGTAATTAAAAGGTTTTAATTGAAAATTTCTGAAAAGGTGTTTACTACACTATTAAAGATGATACTGACTAACAGAACTTAAAAGAAAGATTACACCATCACAAAAGTGCCTGAATACACTAAGGGGGTAAATTGTTTCTCACTTGTTAATCAGGTGCCTACCATTCTAATATAGATGTAGAAATACTCATAAACAGTGCCAGATCATTTCTGAAAGTATTACATTTAAAACATTGACTATTTCTTTCTTTACTATATGCAAATAGCCAAAAGGATGATTTGGGTTGGTAACTGTTATCAGTCATTTAACTCTCATACTTAAAAGTTCTTTAGAATCAAGATTATCAAGATTTCAAGAGTTGAAATAAAGGTGCAAGAATCTGTATTATATTTTTAAAGCTACCATATTCCTTCTGTTCAAAGTGGAAACTTACTTTTAAAATCTAATATTACTATTAGTCAATGGAATTAGGTAAATCCTAGAAATTATAAACCTGAAATAGTTTACTATAAAGCTTATATGGAAAAAAATGTAAATGACCTAAGGAAAGTATAGAACTATCCCTAGTATACTGTTTGACGTATAGAAGGTACTCCAGAAGTATTTGTTGGATGAATGAAAAGGTGATTTTGCAAAAATTAAAGAATGTTAGAGGTCATCCAGTCCAAGTCATTGGTAACACCCCCTCTTCTCAATCCTATGTTACAGATAAGAAAACTACAAACCTAGATAATTATAAATGCTGGCTAACATTTAGCTCTGCTGGCGTGGCTCAGTGATTGAGGGTCAACCTATGAACTGGGTCAGTTTGATTCTCGGTCAGGGCACATGCCTGGGTTGGGGGCTCCATCCCCAGTGTGGGGTGCAGGAGGCAGCCAAATCAATGATTCTCTTTCATCACTGATATTCCTATCTCTTTCTCCCTCTCTAAAATCAGTAAAAATTTATTTTAAAAAATTTATCTCTATCCAATTATTTTGGTTTGTGTATAGTATTTGACTGAACAACATAAGGACTGACATTTTTACATTGTTTCTCCTTTGTAAGGTGTTTTTTCTTTATAATTAGCTAGAGGCTGAGGGGTCCCTCAGCTTGGCCTGCGCTGGCTTGCAATCCAGGACTGCTTGGGAGATGTCAATCTGCTGGTTTTGGGCTGAACCCGCAGTCTTACATCCCGAGGGATGTAGAAGTGAGCAAAGCAGCAGGCGGCCAGGGAGCTGTGCTGCTCCTGCTCATTGGGGCTCCACTGCACCTGCCATGAGCCTGGCTCAGTCAGTTCAGTGGCACTCCCACTGGGGGAGTGCACTGACCACTAAGGGGCAGCTCCTGCATTGATCTTCTGCCCCCTGGTGGTCAGTAGGTGTCATAGCAAGCAGTCAAACAGTCGATTGGTCGCTTAGGGCAGCGTTTTTCAACCGCTGTTCCGCGGCACATGTTGCCTGGTGTGCCGTAGGTGCAGACAAGACAAGAATTTTATAATTTTTCACTATTTTGCTTACTTAATATTTCATAATAAAGTAATTATAAAATACCTTCTTTGTGTTTATTTGATTCCTATTCAAGAGAATTACTTTAAATATAGTCAATATAGGCACAGAGTTAAATTTTTTAACATTTTCTAATGGTGGTGTGCCTCGTGATTTTTTTCATGAAACAAGTGTGCCTTTGCCCAAAAAAGGTTGAAAAACACTGGCTTAGGGTTTTATATGTATAGATGCAACATTTCTTGCCCCTTAGACTAGATTTCAAAAGGAAAAGAGGGTATGTATCTAGGTAGAAAGATGTTGCTCTTCTGTCAGATTTAGTATTTTGGATTTAAGAGTGGAATCCATCTTTCAGAGAATGAAAGTTTTAAATGACTATTCAGGTTGCCTGACTGGTGTGGATCAGTGGTTGAGAGTCAACCTACGAACCAGGAGATCACAATTTGATTCCTGGTCAGGGCCAGGGTTGTGGGACCTACCTTTGTCTAATATTTCTGAAATCCTTTGTGTTTTCCTGCATGTACACTAATAAATTTTTTTTAAGTAATTGTAAATCAGAGAGAAAAATATTTTATACTACCAAGTTTCCTTTAAGCCTTGGGCACAATACTATACATTGTTGTATTAATGCTTAGAACTAAGCCTTCAATAAATTATACAAATGTGCTTCATGTTGTAAACCATTATATTTAGATATCTTAATCCTGCATGTTATTGTATAGCCAACAATAAAAAATCTTTATTAAAAATGTTGAAAAGTATAAAACAGTATTTGTAAATGATCAAACACCCAATCTTTAAAAAGCAGTTATTTCCTTTTCCCTACATAGTACAAGCAACAGTAATTTTGATATTATTATTTAGTTTCAGCCACCATGCTGTCCTAGATGTACTTCACTTAAGAGAATTTTTTTGCCTCTGTTTCTGGAGTGAAAATTCACATAGACACCAAGAAATAACTCTGATAATGTAACTCAAAAAAAGATACATATGCCATGTTAAACATATGATCTGACATATTATAGCATTTCATAACAATAAGAGTTATTTGCAAAGTAAAATCAAGTCACTTTTGCAGCTGTAAGTCAATGCTGGACTTAAGAGTAAGGCATCTTCCTGCTCTGCAGTAGTGCTTCTGTGGATCCAGGGATCTGTACAAAGGCTTCCTTTTTTGAAAAAATATATCTTCTGTTATACTTCAATTATTTCATCCCATTGATAATTTTCTTGCAAATAATACTGAAAATATCAGTCCATGTTTTTATAAACCTATAAAACCAGAAATAATTGAGTTATTGGTAAAAGCTTGATTTTATATTTCTGAAAACAAGATTTATTAAATGGTTCTATGGGCTAAGATATAAAACTTCTACTAATATAACTAGATAGGAAATAAATATTTTAATACTGCTATAATGTAATAATGATTTTTGTAAGCAGTAAATAAAGGATATCACTGACTTTCTTCCTCTGAAGCATCAAGAAAGCATTTTAAAACAGGCAGAGTCTCAGGGTTGTCCCTTACTGTTCACTTGGACATAATCTGAAGATTCATCTTATCCACACCTTTCTAAAACTGTTGAAAGGATGTAGGGAAGACTCAGAGCAGTAGTTCTAGGAACTTCAGCTGGGGATTCTCAACCATTACAGATAGCAGCTACTATTCTGCCTGTAGTAAGAAGAAATAAAGCCAGGACTGAGGTCCAATTGCTGTACCACAGTTCTCAGTGGCACTGACAAGTGCTCCTGCTGCTCATCTTCCGAATCCAGTCTGCTCCACCCTACAGGAGCCTGCCCAGAGTGCCTGTGTTCTGATTCTGTCTGGGTCTCAGGCTCTAGGTCCTTGGTCTGAACTGAATGCTCACTGCTCATGACAAATGCCTGAAAGGAAGCAAAGGCTTCCTTAAGACTGCAGAGGACAACGCTTTTTAAAAAATGAGCTCATGACAATAGGAACTATGGTAATGAATGTGTGTTGTCTGAAGCTGTTAGGTTTGTGCGCATTGATTATGGAGCAGTAGGTAACTAAAACACTTTAAGTTTTTTAAAAATTGAACACCTTCACAAGATGCTCTACTGAGCTCAGCTCCTGAATGACTGAAGCAGCTGTATCCTTAACTTCAGTGTCAGGAGAGACTTCACTACATTCCTGCAGTTCAACTTTAGATTAGCAATTACCCTCACTTCTCAGACTGCTGATCCACCTGGACTGTCTTCTGTGGCTCCTGTTTCTGGACACACAGTCAAGAATAGCTCATCCATGTACTTGCCTACAGAATAAACTGCTCTTTTACAAAGTAAATAACATTTTTTCAGCGTTTAGTGTTAGTTTCAGTCTTTAGTCACTCTTCTCTGGATCTAATTTCTTCAATAGTGGGCAAGTCACCTTTTTGTCTATTGCCACTGTAACAAAGTTATTTATCCCTGTGAGCACATTAATTATATATGATCTGATAAAAAATGAATTGAGTTGCTGGCTAAACAGCAAAATTGATGATTAAAATAAAAGCAACTCATATAAGCACTAAATAGGTAATATGGTGCCAACCATTTGTCTTCTTGTAGAACCCAGAAGCAGTGCTAAGAGCTGAAAGTCTAGTTTTATGCTTTTTAATTATTTATTTTAAAATATGTTTTTACTGACTTCAAGAAGAAGGGAGAGGGAGAAAGAGAAACATCAATAATCAGAGAGAATTGTTGATCAGCTGCTTCCTGCAAGCCCCCTAATGGGGATCAAACCTGTAACCTGGGCATGTGACCTTGACTGGAATCGAACCTGGGACCTTTCAGTCCACAGGCCAATGTTCTATCCACTGAGCCAAACAGGCTAGGGCCCATAGCTTCTTTATTTTGTTTTGTTTCCATTGTCATGAAATATATTTTTTCATACCTTTACTTTGAAACTGTGTGTGCGCCTTATGATCTGAAGTGAGTCTCTTGCAGACAGCATAAGTAAGGGTCTTATTATCCATTCAGTCACTGTATATCTTTTGATTGGAATATTTAATCCATTCCTTTTTTTTTTTTTATAAATATATTTTATTGATTTTGTACAGAGAGGAAGGGAGAGAGATAGAGAGTTAGAAACATTGATGAGAGAGAGTCATCGATCAGCTGACTCTTGCACACCCCCTACTGGGGATATGCCCGCAACCAAGGTACATGCCCTTGACCGGAATCGAACCCGGGACCCTTCAGTCCCCAAGCCGACGCTCTATCCATTAAGCCAAACCGGTCTCGGCTAATCCATTCCATTTTTAAAACATTTTTTTTAATTTATTGATTTTAGAGAGGAAGTGAGAGAAATAGAAACATCAATGATCAGAAAACGAATCATTGGTCTGCTGCCTCCTGCACGGCCCCTACTGGGTATTGAACCTATATTGAGCCTGGGCATGTGCCTTGACTGAGAATTGAACTATGACCTTCTGGTTCATAGGTTAATGTTCAACCTCTGAGCTACACGGGGTGGGCTATTCCATTTGCATTTTTTTAAAATATGTATATTTTTTTTTATTGATTTCAGAGAGGAAGGGAGAGGGAGAGAGAGAGAGAAACATTAGTGATGAGAATCATTGACTGGCCGCCTCCTGCACTTCCCCCTCCTGGGGAGAAAGCCCACAACCCGGCATGTGCCCCTGACCAGAACTGAACCAGGACCCTTGAGCCCACAGGCCGAAGCTCTAGCCAATGAAGCAAATTCTGCATTTAAAAGTAATTGTTGACAGATATGTATTTACTGCCATTTTATTATTATATTTATATTTTATGTAGGTTTTTATCTCTTCCTTCTTTTTCTTAAAGAAGACTCTTTAATGTTTCTTGTAATACTGCTTTGGTGGTAATGAACTTTAGATTGTTCTTGTCTGGGAAGCTCTTTATCTGTTCTATTCTAAATGACAGCTTTGCTGGGTTGAGTAATCTTAGTTATAGATCCTTGCTTTTCATCACTTTGAATATTAGGTCTAGTAATAATTAATGTCGTTTTCTAATACTTTTTAAAATCGAATTTATTTAAACAATACAACAAAATTTAATCAACAATATAGTTGCCGTTGTTTTCTACTACTTGTGCCCAACGCTCAGGAAGCATTTTAATCCCTCTGTAGTAAAATTCTTGTGATTTTGATGCCAAAAATTCGGTCAATGCATTTTTGAGGCATTCTTCATTATTAAATTTTTTTCCAAGAAGAAAGTTTTGCAAAGAACGAAACAAATGGTAATCGGAAGCGGCAATATCAGGAGAATACGCAGGTTGAGGGAGAACTTCCCATTCCAACTGGCGCAGTTTTTCAGCAGTGATTCTTGCAGTATGCGGTCGTGCGTTATCGTGGTGAAGAATTACGCCCTTCCGATTAATCAGCGTGGGTTCTTTTTCTCTTAAAGCTTGGGCTAACCTTTCCAATCGGGCACTATACACTGCACTTGTAATGGTTTGGTTAGATGGTAAAAGTTCATAATGAAGAATTCCTTTAAAATTCCACCAAACACACAACATCACTTTTTTCGCATGCAAGTCAGGTTTTGGCGTGGGCTGCGGAGCCTCATTTTTGTCTAACCATTGAGGCCACCTTTTCAAATTAACATACAGCACCCATTCTTCATCTCCGGTAACAATTTGCTCTAAAAACGGCAAACGGTTTTGACGAGAGAGGAGCGAACTGCAAATTGTGACTCTTAGATTACGGTTGTTGTTGGTCAACTCATGAGGAACCCATTTTCCAAACTTTTGGACTTTGCTAAGTGCACGCAATTGATTGGAAATTGTTTTTTGTGAACAATTTAAAGTTGTCGCAAGCTCTTGTTGGGTAATTTGACGATTTTGCACCAAAAGAGCTTGAAGAGCTTCTTGATCAAAATTGGACACAGGGCCTCGACCACTCTTGTCATCCAACGAAAAATTTCCCTCGCGAAATTTCTCAAACCAACGCTGGCATTTTCTGGCGCTAAATGCATCTTGACCAAGAGCACTACAGATGTTTTTTGCAGCCTCACTTGCTTTTCTTCCTAATTGGAACTCGTAAAGCATGCAGTGCCGAATATGCTCTTTATCCGCCATCTTCTTAGCCCTAGTTTTGCAACAAAAACCAAACCAAACACAAACTTTTTCAAGCAAAACTTGTTAATTGCACTTCACACGTTCTGTAGATACCACGTGTTTGAAGGTTATGCCAATACAAGTCAACGCCAAGCAAGATTTTAAACGAATGTTTAAAAACGACATTAATTATTACTAGACCCGATATTTTGTGCCAATCTCTTCTGGCCTGCAAAGTTTCTATTGAGAAATCAGATGACAGTAATAAGTGAGTTATCTTGTAGATAACTAACAGCTTGTCACTTGCTGCTTTTAGAATTCTCTTTGTTTTTAATCTTTGGCATTTTAATTATAATGTCTTTGTGTGGGCCTCTTTGGGTTTATATTGTTTTGGACTCTCTGTGCTTCGTGGACTTGTATGTCTATTTCCTTCACCAGGTTAGAAAAGTTTTCCATCATTACTTTTTCAAGCAAATTTTTAATTCCTTGCTCTCTCTCTCTGGCACCACCATGAACTGTTGGTATGCTTCAAGTTGACCCAGAGGGTCCTTACACTATCTTCTTTTTTGGGTTCTTTTTCCTTTTTGCACTTTTAAATGCATATTTTCTGCTTCCTTATCTTCTAAATTGATGATCTAATCTTCTGCATCATCTACTCTACTGTTGATTCCCTGTAATTTTTTCTTAATTTCAGTTATTGTATTATTCATTACTGACTGGTTCCTTCTTTATAATTTCCATGTCCCTTTTCATGCTACTGTAGTTCTTGCTAGTTCCTTGAGCACACTTAAAATCATTGTTTTGGACTCTATCTGGTAGACTGCCTTCATTTCATTTAGTTCTTTTTCTGCAGATTTTTCCTGCTCTTTCATTTGGGACATGTTTCTTTGTCTCCTCATTTTGGCTGCTCCCCTGTGTTTGTTTCTATGTTTTTGGTAGAGCTGCTATGTCTCTGGACTTGGTAGAATGGCCTCATGTAGTAGGTGTCCTATAGGGCCCAGTGGAGCAGCCTACCCAGTTTCTTGAGCTGGGCACTCCAAATGCACTCTGTGGGCTCTGTGCACTGTCCTGTTGTAATCGAGTCTTGGTTGTTTTTAGCAAATCACTCGTAGGGATTTGATTGGAAGAGAGATCTCAGCTGCAAAGGTCCCCCCTAAGGAGTGATGGTCCCAGCCCCACATCAGAGCCCCCAGTCCAGGGTTCCAGTGCCAAGAGGATCAGTCCTATAACTTTTCTATCTGTTAAAACCAGCGGGAATTTAGGCCAATCAAATGCAAAGACTAGCTGAGAGGACATGTTTTGACTACAGTGGAGAAGCTGTTGTGCAAGGCCAATCCCGTAGAGCATGACTTGCTACAGTGGGGCTTTGGTGCCTGCTACCTCTAGCCCTGGAGTGTGTCGCTTGTAGAGGTGGTTGGGATGAAATCTGGGGTGATCTGGTGCTGTCCACTGAGTGTACTAGCTCTGGGGCCTCCCAAGAGGTGCAAGGTCAGTCACTGCCTGTGACTTGCCAAGGGCCATCCAGCATGAGCTATAGAACAGTCTATAGTTGATTGCTATTTTGCTTATTTGGAGGTGTCTAGTAAAGAGGCCAAACTGCAAACCAAGCCTAGCTATCACCAGTACCAGGCCTGGAGCTACTTAACAAGAAGTATGAGGTAAACAGAGGCCAGCTGCTGCTTGAGAGATTTTAGAAATGTCCGAAGCATAAGCCAGAATATGGAAAAGCCGCTGGAAAGGGGTTTGGTGGGCTTGCAATGGAAAGGTGGAACTGGGGGTCTCAGCAAATCACCAGGGTGAGGCCAACAGTGTTAGCTAGTGTTGATGGGACTGATATGGTGTCCACCTGGGGGTTTTGTTGGAGGAGAGCTTAGAAAAGGAACAATGACCTCTGCTGGCACTTCTGTCTGGGAGAAAGTTGCGCCTCAAAACTTACCCTGCAGTCAGACAATTCAGTCCCTCCCTTTATGGCCCCATATGACATCTTTTGAGTTGCTGCTCCAAAACTGGGGTTCAGAGAAAGTGAGTCTGACTAAATCCTTTTAGAGGAACACCTGGGTACCTCAGCCTCACTTAGCGACAATTCCCGCTGGTTTTAGCAGATAGAAAAGTTATGGGACTGCTCCTCTTGGCACTGGAACCCTGGGCTGGGGGCTCTTATGTGGGGCTGGGACCATCACTCCTTAGGGGGACCTCTGCAGCTGAGATCTCTCTTCCAACTTTTAACCGCCATCCGTGAGTATGGGACCAGCCGACCAGCCCATTCCACAACCCCACCTTTCCTACCAGTCTTGATGTGACTTCTTCTAATATGTCCCTAGTTGTAGGACTTCTGTTCAGCTAGATTTCAGGTGCTCTGAATAATGGTTATTTGGTATTGTAATTATAATTTTGATGTGGTTGTGGGAGATTCTGAGTACCACATTTACCTATGCTGCCATCTTGACCAAAACTCACCTTGTTTAAGATTTATTCAGAATTGTGCCAAATGAACTTTCTATACCTGAGTTAAAGAAATACATGGCTGGGTAAGAAAAACCCAACAACAACCTTTCTGTGAACAGAACAAGACACAGCAGCAGCCACTACACTTCCTCACTGAACCCCCTTCTCTATAAAATCTACCAATAAACACTAACACACACTGTGTGTGTATGTGTGTGTGTGTGTGTGTGTGAGAGAGAGAGATAGAGAGAGAGAGAGAGAGAGAGATGTTTTATTTAAAAATTTCATGTATTTTAGTATTTTAAGATTTTTATACATTAATTCAATCTGGTGAATTTATTTTAACTAGATAAAGTGTTTTTTTCAGATGACAACTATTACCTGATCTGATGGTATCTTCTTCAGATCCATTCTCTGTCCATTGAGAGTCACTGTCCAGCAATCGATTTTTTGATTCACTAAGTGGTTTGATAGGAAAAGGTTGATTTGAGCCAATACTGAAAAGAAGAGAAAACAATTTAGAAAATAGTTTAATGCTCAATTAAGAATACTAAATTAGCCTGGCTAGTATGACTGAGTGGCTGTGCATTGACCTATGAACCAGGAGATCACAATTCAATTCCTGGTCAGAGCATGTGCCCAGGTTGAGGACTCAGTCTCCGGTGGAGGTGGGAGGAGGGGGGCGTACAAGAGGCAGCAGATCAATGATTCTTTCTCACCACTGACATTTCTCTCTCTCTCTTCTTCTTCCTTCCTCTCTGAAATTAATAAAAATTAAAAAATAATAATTAATAAGCAGCAAATTAGTATTCCTTCTCCTAAACATATGAGGCCAAATCATAAGATCTCAGCACTCTGAAAAAAACAACAACTCTATCTTCAAAAGAAAAATATGCCCACCCCCTCATCAAATGGTTCGCTAGACCCAAGAATCTGTACTCTAACTACCAATGAAAACAATTAGGTGAAAGAAAAAAGCTTCAGAGGCCAACCTGAAACATTTTTAACGTGTTAATCAAGAGCCATAAGGTAGCATTAGGACAGGTGTGTGGCCAGGAAAAAAAATTACCTGTCATCTCTCAAGTTTTCTGCTTTCTATCTCTGCAGTTTAGATCTAAGGGGAAAAAATGATTAAGTGATTTAGCACAGACTTATTTTTCTAGCTAACAGATTAGGAAGAGAGGGAATGGAGGAACAAAAGAAGGAAAAGGGAACTAATATGTTATATACTACTACGGGCCAGATACTTGTGCTAGGTGCTGTATGTATATTATTTCAACCTTTGCAAAAACTGGAGGTAGATATAGAGCTGGAAACTGAAGCTCAGACAGTTTAAATGATTTTAGACCCATTATAAATGTTGGAGGTCTAAGGTCTTAGCTAAGGCCTAAAGTTCTAAGGCCTACATGCTTTTGATATTAATATGCAAACTTGTAATTAATAATCTCTTCTCCTCCGCCATTAATTTCTGTAGTAAGTTCCAACTATTATATTTCACTTTGACAGAATCTCTCTCTTTTTAAAATTGATTTTGGAAAGAAAAATACTGATTTGTTGTTCCACTTATTTATACATTTATTGGTTGCTTCTTTTATGTGCCCAGACCAGAGATCAAACCCACAACCTTTGGTATCATGATGACGTTCTAAACTACTGAGCTACCTGGTCAGGGCCAAAAGTCTCTTTATCTTCTTTAAAATTTCATTTCAAATTCATTACCCTGAATGTATGGATCAGTTTGCTTGCCATGCAAATACTGAGAAACTATCCTATAAATGAATGAATGAAATTTTATATTTGTATTTTTTTAATTTTCAATCTCATTTTCACACTACAGTTAAAATCTGTTTATAAAATTAAATGGTGAATAGAGCAATGACTAATTTCTTTGAAGAAAAACACTTACATATACCAATTTAATCTAATCTCAAAAGAATGTCTTAGTTTCTAGGAAAATGCAGCATAGTTTGCCCAGACATTTCCAGTAATATGTGATTATTCTGGTTCAACTAGTAAGAGTAAACATTCCCTTTTTCACTTTGAAAAGTATTCTGGTTTGGATGATAAAAAGTATTATTATCCTAAACATATTAAGCATATATATTATATAACAATATAATATATGAGGAGATATATGTGATTAACCCTAAGTTAAACTTTAGCCCTGGTCTGTGTGGCTAAGTTGGTTGTGGTGTCATCCTGTACATCGAAAGGCTGTGGGTTTGATTCCCAGTCAGAGCCCATACTCAGGTTTTGGGTTCGAACACCTATTGGGGTATGTACAGCAGGCAACCAATAGATGATTCTCTTTCACATAGTTTTTATCTCTCACTTTCCTTTCTTCTCTTGCTAAAATCAATAATAAGTTCAGGATTAAAAAAAATAATTAAAAATATATTAAAATTATTTAAATATATGTTCTCTTTTGCTATGTATGCTGGCTTACTAAATTACTACTCTATCTATAAGATATGTTTGTATCACACATAGATCTATTTTGTTTTATAAGAATACTGAAAAACATAATGACAAGAAGCACACCTTCTGGCATATTCATTTTGGTTTGTAACAGAAGCTTGTTCTGGATCCATTCCCACAAGGCGAGTTGGAAAACTGCAACCATCACCCAAACTGCATAATAAAAAATATCAGTAATATTTTAAAACATATTAAGTTAAAACAATGTTGTAAGTTTAACTCCCATTTTTCAGAGACATGGTATAAGGAAATAACCTGTCATTTCAAAGAAAATTTCCTAATATTTCTAATTAAGAGGGTGATTAACCTCCACAGAAAAAAAACGCAGCCTTTTTCTTTTATAACTTACATGAATTTAAAAAGAGTATCTTTCATAATATTGTATGTCAACTATACTTTAATAAAAAAATATCTTCCATGACTATTAAAATTATGATACCTATGAAGATTAGGATACTTCAAACACAAGTATTCAAATATTTAGGTAACTGACCTGATTTTCAAAATCCTTTAAGACATCATAAAAGCTCAAATTAAAAGTCAAGGTATAAGTTTCACACATATTCATTTGACAACATTCATTAAACCAATATTTACTGAATGCCTATGATATTCCAGGTACTATTTTAAGTGCTAAGGGTCTGGCAGTTGATGAGAGAGAAGGAAATCTCTGCCCTCAAAACGTTTACAATCTAAAAAATGCAGCTATGCTTACTTTCACATTCTAAAAACAACAAAATTGTGTATAACAAGAACTTTCACTTCCAGCCATGATGGATTAACTATAAAACCTGATCTTTCAGTCTTAAACAATCAGAAAACTGAATAGTATATACAATACAATTTTCAAAACATTATAGAACTGTGCTTTGTGAAAGAAAACTGACCGAGTTCCGGCCTTTGCCAGGAGGGGACACAGAGCAAGGTGGTCTCACTGAACTGAGGTGACAGAGATAGGGCTTTCTAAGGTTAAGGCAGCTTGAATCTATCAGAGCTGAGGAAAAGGGAGAGATGCAGAAGCTGAAGCACAAGAAACTGTATTGATGATAACTCTCTACAAAAAGAAAAAAAAAGAAAAAAAGAAAAAACTGTCTACCAACAAAACTCAACATTCTTTAAAGGGAGACAAAATTTAAACACTCAGAATTCAAAGTGTCACTCATCCAATAAAAAATTACTAATGTGAAAAGTAGCAAGAAAATGTATGCACAAGAAAAAAAAACAGTCAATAAAAAAGAAGTCGAAACAAAGACTTTAAACTTCAGGAAAAGTGAGAAATGAAAATGTAAGAAATAAAAAGAACCAAATTGAACTTCTAGAGCTGAAAAATACCTGAAATGAAAAATTCACTGGATTAGATTTACAGTTGAGTAAACATTACAGAAGAAAAGATCATGAACTGACAAACATAGCAATAGGAGCTATTCAAACTAAAGCAAAGAAAAAAGATGGGAGAGGGAAAGAGAGGGGCAGAAGAGCAATGGCCTGTGAGTCACAATCAAAGAATTTAACGTAGGTATATTTATCAAGTACCAGTATCTGAAAGGTAGTGGGGAGAGGGTATGGGAAGAGGAAGAGCAGGCAGCAAAAACAACTGAAGACATATGATGAAAATTATTCAAATTTGATGAATACTGTAAAGTCAGATTTAAAAGGCCTAATGGCCCTAACCGGTTTGGCTCAATGGATAGAGCGTCAGCCTGCAGACTGAAAAGTATCAGGTTTAATTCTGGTCAAGGGCATGTACCTTGGTTGCAGGCACATCCCCAATAGGAGGTGTGCAGGAGTCAGCTGATTGATGTCTCTTATCAATGTTTCTAACTCTCTATCCCTCTCCCTTCCTCTCTGTAAAAAAATCAATGCAATATATTTTTAAAAGGCCTAATGAATTCCAGAGTGGATAAACACAAAGAAAACCATTCTACTGCCTAAAACAGTGATAAAGATAAAATTTTCAAAGTAGCCAGAGGGAAATTTACAAACAGTGCAATAAAGGTAAGAGTGGAGCTCATTTTTGTTCCCAAGCCATAAGATAATGGAACATTAACAAAAAACAAAGCAAAACAAAACAAAACAATGTTTTTGATGCCGAAACCAGTTTGGCTCAGTGGTAGAGCGTTGGTCTGCAGACTGAAAGGTCCCAGGTTCGATTCCAGTCAAGGGCATGTACATTGGTTGCGGGCACATCCCCAGTAGGGGGTGTGCAAGAGGCAGCTGGTCGATGTTTCTCTCTCATCGACGTTTCTAGCTCTCTATCCCTCTCTCCTCCTCTCTGTAAAAAATCAATAAAATATATATATATATTTTTAAATTGTTTTTGAGACAGAGAAACATTGATCTGTTGTTTCACTTATTTATGTATTCATTGGTTGATTCTTTTTTTCTTCTCTTTTTTGGTTGATCCTCTCCCTGAGAGTACTTTTTCCATTGATTTTTTAAAATATATACATTTTATTGATTTTTTACAGAGAGGAAAGGAGAAGGATAGAGAGCTAGAAAACCAACGCGAGATAAACATCGACCAGCTGGCTCCTACACACCCCCTACTGGGGATGTGCAACCAACCAATGTTCGTGCCCTAGACCTGAATCGAACCTGGGACCTTTCAGTCCATAGACAGATGCTCTATCCTCTGAGCCAAACTGGTTTCAGCTCCACTGATTTTTTTAGAAAGAGTGGAAAGGAGGGGAAGAGACACCAAGAGAGAAACATCAATGTGAGAGACACATTGATTGTTTGCCTCCCACACCCACCCCATCAGGGCCGAGAATCAAGACTGCATCTGAAGTATGTGTCCTTGATCGGAATCAAACCCAGGACCCTTTAGTTCATGGCCAATGCTCTATCCACTGAGCCAAACTGGCTAGGGCCATTGGTTGATTCTTGTATGTGCTCTGACTGGGGATCAAATCCACAAAATTGGTTTATCGAGACAATGAACTAACCAGGGCCATCAAGTCACATTTTTTTAAAAAAATATATTTTATTGATTTTGTACAGAGAGGAAGGGAGAGAGATAGAAAGCTAGAAACATCGATGAGAGAGAGTCATCGATCAGCTGCCTCCTGCACACCCCCCACCGGGGATATGCCCGCAACCAAGGCACATGCCCTTGACCGGAATCGAACCCGGGTCCCTTCAGTCCCCAAGCCGATGCTCTATCCACTGAGCCAAACCGGTCTCGGCTCAAGTCACATTTTTAAAGAAAACAAAACCCTTAATATTAAAATCTGTTTTAGAAAAAATAACCTTAAAAAAAAGTCTGTGTTCCAACTACAGTGGAAAAACCTTGCAATACAGAAGACAAAATATAAAGTATACAGAAGAGATTGGCTCTTGAAAATACAGCAATAAGATTACTCAAAGACACACAGAAAAAAGACTACACAAAAAAAATGTACAGTGCATCAATAAGCTGTGGAAATGTACAGTGCATCAATAAACTTCGTTGAGTGAATAAATGTAATTGGAGTCCCTGTAGTAATGAGGAAAGAAGGATGTCAGAAGAAATAGTTGAAATATTTCCAAATCTGATAAAAGTTCTAAAATCATAGACCTGGGAAGCTCAATCAATCCTAAGCCCAAGAACACAAAGAAAATTATACCAAGGGACAATAAAACCCAATTTCATGAAACTATTTACAAATAAAAAATCTTAAAAGCAGCTGGAGAAAATAAAGACACAGTATATATTCATTAAAAAAAAAAAAAAGAATAGTGACCGCAAATTTCTAGAAGACAATGAAGCAACATGTAGAATTCTATGCCAAGCAAAAATGTCTTTCAAAAATGAAGACAAACCCTAACCAGTTTGGCTCAGTGGATAGAGCGTCAGTCTGCAGACTCAAAGGTGCCAGGTTCAATTCCAGTCAAGGGCATGGACCTTGGTTGTGGGTACATCCCCAGTAGGAGGTGTGCAAGAGGCAGCTGATTGATGTTTCGCTCTCATTGATGTTTCTAATTCTATCCCTCTCCCTTCCTCTCTGTAAAAAATTAAATTAATTTTTTTTCCTAAATAAGACAAAGTAAGTCATTTTCACAAAAAATAAGCAATACAGTTAAGAAAAATAAAAATCCACAACACTCACAAATATATCACTTGAATTATCAAATATTTTTCCTCTTCTATAATGACTTTTATATATAAGTAGCCTAGGATGGCTATGAATTTGGAAGAAAAGGAAACTATATAATATCTCAAACATATTCTCATTTATAATTGAGTAAAAATTATATTGTTTTGGGTCTTCAATGATTTAAGATAAAACAGAATATATAACCTGTAATAGAATGTTTGAAGATATGGCTAAAAATATCACCTTTGAACATTTCATCACCCTTATAAAAATGTCAAAGTAATTATTTAATATTATTGAAAATCTACTAAAATATGTTTAATATAGCTTACTTTTCTTTTAAAAAATTGTTTACTTATTTGTCTATTTATTTAATACTAGAGGCCCGATGCACGAAGATTCGTGCACGAATGGGCCTTCCCTCCCATGGCTGCCGGCACCACCTTCACTCCAGCTAGAGCCGCCTTTCTGCCTTCCCTCCCTTCCCAGTGCGAAACCAAACTGGTGACATGCGAGGAAGCAAGATCTCAAAATGCTCCCTCTTTTTTAATATACTTACTCTTGCAACTTCTCTCATTCATTATTTATATACTTTCAACTTATTTTCACTTTGAAGGAAAAAGGGTATTAATTCTTATTTTTTATGAATCATCTTTTTCAACTTTTCCATTCAAATATATGCCCAAACTCTCTTTTACCCTTGTTAATAAAAAACATAAAAAGAAAATATTTTATAGACTCAAGTTATTCTGGGTTTTCTTTCTTAAGGCTAAGAATTATATATTGTAGTTTCTGAACCTTAAGACATTTAACTATAATTTTCATAACTTCTGAAACCTGTATTTTATAAATTACCTTGAAAATATTGGAAGTAGCCAGTATTTCTTTTCATCGCCAAAGACTTGTCTCCAGTTTTTACTGTATCCAAGAGAGAAACCATTTCCATCAGGTCCATATGAAAATGTGGGTGCACTAAATGATTCTGTTATAGACATACATAAAAAAAATGAGTTAATCTACTTAAAATCATAGTAGGAACCAAAGTACCAGTTTTTGTTTTATCTTTAAACAAGAAACCAAGATGATGGCGTAGGTAAACAACTGGTCTGCCACCTCGCACAACAATTTAAAAATTAAAACTAATACAAAGGATATCTATCACCCCAAATCACGGGAAGGCTGGCTGAACGAAGGGAAGCGCAAGCGTGGAAAAGCTGAGGAGCCTAGATACAGAGGCACGCGAATTGGGCTGGTGGCGGGTGACTGGGCGCATGGCTTTTTTTTTTTTTTTAACCAGAAGGGAAACAAACTCCGATCATTTTGAAATCCAGTTTCTGGGTCACATGGGGGACCCAGATGCCTACAGGGAGAAGCTGGTCTGTAGGCCATTGGGTCTGAAAGTGAGGGTGACTTTCCTGCAGAGGCCCACACAGCAATCAGTGTTTACTGCGCTGTATTGCAGGGAAGGGGGGGACTTGGAAATGTGGGGACTTGGAAACGCAGACTTCACTGTTAGCCACGCCCCAACCTACTGAGGTCCTGAGGACCCGCCCCACCCTGAGACCCTGCCCTGAAGTCCCACCCACACATTCTACAGACCCGCCCAGGCACCACACAGCTGCTTTTGCATATAAATGGCCTGTATTGTGGCAGCTTAACCATATATAAAATGCAGCTCCAGCAACAAAACTGCCAAGTTCCAAGCAAAGAGGACAAAATTGTAGTTCTCACTGTAGCTCCTGCAGGGTGGCTTCAGACAGTAGCTGAACTGAATCCCATTGGAGATCCAGAAGCCAGTGTTCCTGGTGGTCAATTTCAACCACTCACACCCATAAGTGACACATTCGGGAGAGGCACTCAGTGAGCACCAAAGCCCCACTGAAACAAGGTGTGTCTCCAGCACAGCAGTTCTTCCTATATAGACAGAGCGGTTCTCACAGACAATTGGCCTGGAGATCAATTCCTCCCAGTGTACCAACAGCAATCAAGGCTTAATTACACCAAGATTTTGCACTTGGCCCACAATAAGTCACCTATCACACAAAGCCACTCCATCAACACAAGGAGGCAGCCAAAATGAGGAGACACAGAAACATGTCACGAATGGGAGAGATGGAGGAAATTAAACTACTGGACGACACAGAGTTCAGAATCACATTTATAAGGTTACTCAAGAATCTTCTAAAAACCTTTGAGAAACTTGATGAGACCTCCAAGAAGCTTTGTGAGATCTTTAAGGACCTTAATGAGAATACCAAAAAAATGGAAAAGGACCAGTCAGAAATTAAGCATACAATGTCTGAAATAAAGAATATACAGAAACTCAACTATAGATCAACGTACCCCAAGAATCAAACCAAAGATCTGGAATATAAGGAAGAAAAAATCACCCAACCAGAGAGGCAGAAAGAAAGAAGAATCCAAAAGTGTGAGGATAGTGTGAGAAGTCTCCGGGATAGCTTAAACCACATGTGTCAAACACAAGGCCCGAGGGCCAAATCCGTCCCGCTAGGCCTTGCAATGTGGCCCGCACCGCGCTGTCATCACTGCACTCCGCTGCGTTTCCATCACAATGACAGTTTATGACTGTTCAGTAAACCATTCGGCCCGCAATTTAGGCTGGATTTTAGATTTTGGCCCCTTCTCTGATTGAGTTCGACACCCCTAGCTTAAACCGTACCAACATCTGGATTTTTGGGGTGCCAGAAGAAGAGAGAGAGCAGGATACTGAAGACATATTGAAAGAAATAATGACAGAAAACTTTCCCTACCTGGTGAAAGAAACAGACTTACAAGTTCAGGAAGTGCACAGAACCCCAAACAAGAGGAATCCAAAGAGGACCACACCAAGACACATCATAATTAAAATGCCAAGGACAAAATACAAAGAGAGAATCTTACAAGCAGCAAGAGAAAAACAGCTAGTTACCTACAAGGGAGTACCCATATGACTGTCAGTTGATTTCTCAACAGAAACTATGCAGGCCATATGGATGAGGACAATGGGGAGAGGGGAAAGGGCAGAGGGTGGGGTGGGAACCTGGTGGAGGAGAGCAATGGAGGGGGGGGGGGGGGGAAGGAACATTTGTAATAATATGAACAATAAAAACTTATTAAAAAAAAAGAAAAAAAAGAAAGAAACTATGCAGGCCAGAAGAGAATGGCAAGAAATATTCAAAATGATGAACAACAAGAACCTACAACCAAGATTACTCTACCCAGCAAAGCTATCATTCAGAATTGAAGGTCAGATAAAGAGCTTCACAGACAAGAAAAAGTTAAAGGAGTTCATCAACACCAAATCAGAATTACATGAAATGCTGAAGGGTATTCTTTAAGAAGAGGAAGAATAAGAAAAAGGTAAAGGGCCCTGACCGGTTTGGCTCAGTGGATAGAGCTTTGGCCTGTGGACTGAAGAGTCCCAGGGTCCCAGGTTCGATTCCAATCGGGGGCATGTACCTTGGTTACAACCTAGGCACATCCCAGCGGGGGTGTGCAAGAGGCAGCTGATCGATGTCTCTCTCTCATCGATGTTTCTAACTCTCTATCCCTCTCTCTTCGTCTCTGTAAAAAAAAAATCAATAAAATATATATATTTTTTAAAAAAGAAAAAGGTAAAGGTAAAAATTATTAACAACAAAAAGGCATCAAATACATACACATACCTACCTCTAAAAATCAAGTGAATAAAAAATCTGAAGAACAAAATGGACTGGTGAACATAATAGAATCAGGGACATAGAAAGCGATTGGACTAATAATTCTCAGGGGAAAGGAGGTCTGAAGGGTGTGGGAAAAGATTGGACAAAAATCTTACACCTATGGATGAAGACAGGGGCAGGGGTAAGGGTATGGGGTGGAGTTGGGAATCGGGTGGAGGGGAGCTATGGGGAAGGAGGGGGGAAAGAGAAACACCTATAATAAGCTGAACAAGAAAGATTTATTATTAAAAAACAAAACAAAACAAAACAAAAAAACTATAAACACAGCCTTGGTGTTGTGGCTAAGCCGGTTGGAGCATTGACCTGTGCACCAAAAGATGGTGGGTTCAATCCCTGGTAGAGGCATATGCAGGAGGCAACCAATCAATGTTTCTCTCTCTCTTTCTCAACCTTCCTTTCTCTAAAAATCAATACAATTTAAGAGAGAAAATCTTTAAAATATATATATATATATTTTATTGATTTTTTTACAGAAAGGAAAGGAGAGGCACAGAGAGTTAGAAACATTGATGAGAGAGAAACATCGACCAGCCACTTCCTGTGCACCCTCTACTGGGGATATGCCCGCAACCAAGGTCCATGCCCTTGACCGGAATCGAACCTGGGACCTTTGAGTCCTCAGGCTGATGCTTTATCCACTAAGCCAAAACAGTTTCGGCAAGAGAGAAAATCTTAATAAACAGCTATAAATAGAATTTAAAATAAATAATGTATCCTATATAATAAAAACCTAAATAATACAAGTCTAATATGCTAAGTGTCTGTTTCCCAGTTGGCCATTCAACCAATCAAAGCATAATACGCTAATGATATATTAAGACTGCTCAAGTGCTCACTGACATGCACTGACCACCAGGGAAGTCGACCGGTCAACCAGTTACTATAATGTGCACTGACCACCAGGGGGCAGATGGGTAGGTGAGCTTACTGCTGGGGTCTGGCCAATTGGGACTGAGGGAGAAGGGCTGGACATGCCCAGGAACCCTCCCATGGCCCCTCCCTGGCTGGCCAACCTCCCGCATCCCTCCATGGCCCTCTAGTTTATAATAAAAAGATAAATTTCTAAAATGTATTTCAGAAGAAAATATCACCTCTGAATACTTCATCACCCTTATAAAAATGCCAAAATAATTATTATTAAAAATCTGTTAAAATATGTTCAATATATCTTACTTTTCTTTTTAAAATATATTTATGAGTTTGTTTAAACTAAATTGGTGACATGCCAAGAAGCAACATCTCAAAATGCTCCCTTTTTTAATATGCCTACTCTTGCAACTTTGCTCATTCATTATTTATACATTTCCTACTATATGCTTGATGGAACATTACCAGGTGTTTGGGATTCAAAGATAAATTAGATATAATTTATCTAAGAACCCAAAGTCTAACAAAATTACAATCTGATAGAGATATGTGTGTACTGAGGGTGTGGTAGAGGAGGGTTAAATATGAAGGTGATACTTTCTTTTTTTTAAAATATATTTTATTGATTTTTTACAGAGAGGAAGGGAGAGAGAGATAGAGCTAGAAACGTCAATCAGAGAGAAACATCGACCAGCTGCCTCTTGCACACCCCCTACCGGGGATGTGCCCGCAACCAATGTACATGCCCCTGACCGGAATCGAACCTGGGACCTTTCAGTCCGCAGACAGATCCTCTACCACTGAGCCAAACCGGTTTAGGCTGGAGGAGGTGATACTTGAGAATGATCTTAACCAAGGAATAAAAGATAAGAAAGCAGATAGTTATTAAAGACTACTCTTTAAATATATAGATGTATGTGTGTGTGTGTGTGTGTGTGTGTGTGTGTGTATGTTTTTATTGATTTTAGAAAGAGAGGAAGGCAGAGGGAGAGAGAAACACTGATCAGCTGCCTAACCCAGGCATATGCTCTTACAGGGAATCAAACCTGTGACTTTTTGGTGCATGGGATAATATTCAATCAACTGAGCCACACCAGTCAGGTCTAAAAGCCATTCATTTTTTTTTTTAAATATATATTTTATTGAGTTTTTACAGAGAGGAAGAGAGAGAGATAGAGAGTTAGAAACATCGATGAGAGAGAAACATCGATCAGCTGCCTCTTGTACGCCCCCTACTGGGATGTGCCCGCAACCAAGGTCCATGCCCTTGACCGGAATCGAACCTGGGGCCTTTCAGTCCGCAGGCCGACACTCTATCCACTGAGCCAAACCGGTTTTGGCTAAAAGTCATTCTTTTAAGCTTGGTTGTAAAGTGATATAGCTTGAGGGTTAG